TCTTACTGTAAAGAAAAGATACTTTTTCTGAGATCTGATTTTGACAGAAAGCAATTGTTTGTTTATGCACGATTAAGGTAGAATTTTGGCCCAAAGCTAAAGCACTGAAAAAATAAGCAATGCAAATTTTTTAATGACTTGCTCAACTAATGATTTTTTATGCATCAATTGTGCAACTGAAGTTGTAATTCAATTAGTATTTAAAGTAATTAAGGATGAAAGACTATCAGAAAAAAGCTTAAAAGAAGGCTTTCATAATTTTCTGAAGTGGCTGATACTCCATCACTTTAAAAAAGGAGAATTAGTTATGGAACAAAGAAAGTACATGTTTCTATTACAAAACTACCCACTAAAAAAGAAATTAAAGATGCATGGTCTTCCAATATATGAAAAAAAGCAAAAAAAAAATCTCGTAAGTACTTTCATTTACTAGGTTAGTAAGCAATGAACATTAACGCTGGACTTTATGCCAAGCACACATACCTACAAGCTTTTATTGATAAATTCCATATATATTTATATCATCACCACTAATTACAGGTTACGTGCATTACTACTCACTTCATATCGCATGTGCGAAGCTTACCTACTCATTTTTACGGAACACTTGAGAAATCATTTGAAGTCGGGTAAGAATTACTATCTTTAAACATTCACAAACCACATTCACTGACACCTGAATGTCATTGAGGATTTTATAAATATATTTTTTTTCTATTTGTTTTTGAAATTCTATAGTATTTCATACAAATTAGCAATGTTGATTTTTTTCTATCACAGACAAAGTTGCAACAGATATAATCAGAATAATTCTGGCATTTTAGTGATACATGTATTAATGTGGTCTTAATCGCCAAATAGAATGTCATTAATATCCTTGAGTCTTTTCGTCATTACATCAGCTTTCTTTTGATGACTACATTGATCACTATGGTTGGTGCTTCTTAGATATTTGATACAAGAACTCAATGATACTAAGGCAAAAAAAAATAAAAAAAGAGAAATTCCCATATAAAAGCTAACAAATTTGATTAATATTACGAACGTCGGTTTAAGCACCCAATGCTTTAGTATAGATGTTTTTGGTTGTAAGCATGATTTAAATCTCAAATCTTTTACCTGTGATAGCTAAATAAAGTTTTCAGATCATTCCTAAACTGTAAAGAAAAATTACTTTGATTACTTCTCAATATTTACTGGATTTGTGATGTATATTGCAATGTGTATTTAAACTCTTGGTTTTTTGGTGATTAAGGATTAAGTTACATGATACTATATATTAAATACATACAACCAACCATACTTGCTGTATTTGTTGCAAAATCCCTGTATGATAAGAATGGGAGAGCTAAAACACAAAGACACAGATTATGGGAATTAAGCACCCAAATGCCTTTAAAAATCTGGTTCAACAAATTTACAACAAGTGGTGAACAGCACAGGAAATTTAAGGAATTTAGACTGATACTTTTTAAAATTTACAGAAATGGTTGATAAACTACTGACCAGTGTTAATTGCTGGCATTTATCGAAAAGAATGGAGTAGAGATTACATTTTACATACACAGCTGTCCAGTACAGTTTTGAGGGTTTTGTGCATGTCTACTGCGTATGTTATATTTCATTTAATAAAAACAGTTTTCTTTTCAGTGAATGGAAAAAAATCAATGCATTAACTACATTATCAGTGAATATGGAGCTGATGAGGGCAAAGTCTGTATAAAAATGGGAACTGTCCAGCAGGTGTAAAAAAATATTTATGACAGTCACCTCTTTTTTTTGTGTGTGTGGATAGGAAAGTTTTTTACCCCCAACTCTTACTGATGCTATCAGTTCTTTTAAGTACCTTGTTTCCAATGGCCTTTTTTGGTGGAAAGTTAAAAGTCCTCACTTGCTGGTATTTATTCTGTAACTTATGATGCAAGCTTCTGAACTCTGCATATCTTCGATAAACGTTCCACTCATCATCCTTTATCCTAATATAAACCTGCAAAATACAGACATGGAAGGAATTAATTTAAAGACCAACCATTGAACTGATATATAGCCTTTACTCTTTAAAGCTTTATGGCTTAACACCTTCACATTCAAGATGCAATGGTACCAGAAGTTCCAGGATCACTTATCTATAGATACGTCTCTGACTGTACATTTGCTGTTTCTGATCTACAGGTCATTAATCTTATTCTCTCCCTTCCTCCCGCTCCTTCTCTTTTTTCTCCCTTTTTATTACATTAATCAAGACAAACATAGCTTTCTCATTTCAACATGACTCTGGGGCAACCATGGTAGCACTTTCTGTTACCATGGTTTCCAGCATATTCTACTAGCCAGTGACCAAAGGAAAAATAATTTAATACCCTATAAAATTGATTTCTATGAACACAACACAGCATCAGAACTGCAAAACATAATTTTATGCAAAGTATGAAACAATTTACTTTCTAAAAAAAATTACATTGAAACTAAACTAGAAATTTTATTGTTCGAAAAATAAACACAGTTCATTCTTTCTGGTTGTATAGGACATTAAGTATAATTTAACACAGCTGTAGTTTTTGTGATTCTGTTTTTGTTTGCCACTCAATTATTTCATATTACCAATTACATGCTAAATATTCACGTTCTCTAGGAAAATCTCATGCAGAAGTGTAATATACTTACAGAAGCTGAGATTTCATTCATTACTAGGGAATTTCCTTTACAGAAATGAGCCCACAGTTTAAAAGAATGCTGAAATAGCACAAGTCAGAAACTATAAACCAAGCATCAAAACTCAAGATCGAGAGTGACCTTTTCCTTAACTGCTTCTGTAGAATCTCTAGCTCACTTATTCTCAGGTGTGTGTTAATAATCTAAGCATAATCCACCATACTGCACAAACCCACGCAATTCCTAAATGCAATACATACTATGACATGGTACAGAAAATAGCACCACTGAAAGGACAAAAATTTGCCTACACAAGATTCTGTGGGAATAAGCTCTTGTGTGATAAACTGAGGTAACCTCTTGCAAAGCTGATGTGAAAGCGCTACTTTGTGACTTGCAAGCTATTTACAGCAGGTAGTATAATCACTAATCAATTCCATTATACAAGTGGCTTATGTCTCATCACAGGAGTCTTTCAGGAGGGCAATGGATGGCACCCATTTCTTACTGTAAAGAAAAGATACTTTTTCTGAGATCTGATTTTGACAGAAAGCAATTGTTTGTTTATGCACGATTAAGGTAGAATTTTGGCCCAAAGCTAAAGCACTGAAAAAATAAGCAATGCAAATTTTTTAATGACTTGCTCAACTAATGATTTTTTATGCATCAATTGTGCAACTGAAGTTGTAATTCAATTAGTATTTAAAGTAATTAAGGATGAAAGACTATCAGAAAAAAGCTTAAAAGAAGGCTTTCATAATTTTCTGAAGTGGCTGATACTCCATCACTTTAAAAAAGGAGAATTAGTTATGGAACAAAGAAAGTACATGTTTCTATTACAAAACTACCCACTAAAAAAGAAATTAAAGATGCATGGTCTTCCAATATATGAAAAAAAGCAAAAAAAAAATCTCGTAAGTACTTTCATTTACTAGGTTAGTAAGCAATGAACATTAACGCTGGACTTTATGCCAAGCACACATACCTACAAGCTTTTATTGATAAATTCCATATATATTTATATCATCACCACTAATTACAGGTTACGTGCATTACTACTCACTTCATATCGCATGTGCGAAGCTTACCTACTCATTTTTACGGAACACTTGAGAAATCATTTGAAGTCGGGTAAGAATTACTATCTTTAAACATTCACAAACCACATTCACTGACACCTGAATGTCATTGAGGATTTTATAAATATATTTTTTTTCTATTTGTTTTTGAAATTCTATAGTATTTCATACAAATTAGCAATGTTGATTTTTTTCTATCACAGACAAAGTTGCAACAGATATAATCAGAATAATTCTGGCATTTTAGTGATACATGTATTAATGTGGTCTTAATCGCCAAATAGAATGTCATTAATATCCTTGAGTCTTTTCGTCATTACATCAGCTTTCTTTTGATGACTACATTGATCACTATGGTTGGTGCTTCTTAGATATTTGATACAAGAACTCAATGATACTAAGGCAAAAAAAAATAAAAAAAGAGAAATTCCCATATAAAAGCTAACAAATTTGATTAATATTCCGAACGTCTGTTTAAGCACCCAATGCTTTAGTATAGATGTTTTTGGTTGTAAGCATGATTTAAATCTCAAATCTTTTACCTGTGATAGCTAAATAAAGTTTTCAGATCATTCCTAAACTGTAAAGAAAAATTACTTTGATTACTTCTCAATATTTACTGGATTTGTGATGTATATTGCAATGTGTATTTAAACTCTTGGGTTTTTGGTGATTAAGGATTAAGTTACATGATACTATATATTAAATACATACAACCAACCATACTTGCTGTATTTGTTGCAAAATCCCTGTATGATAAGAATGGGAGAGCTAAAACACAAAGACACAGATTATGGGAATTAAGCACCCAAATGCCTTTAAAAATCTGGTTCAACAAATTTACAACAAGTGGTGAACAGCACAGGAAATTTAAGGAATTTAGACTGATACTTTTTAAAATTTACAGAAATGGTTGATAAACTACTGACCAGTGTTAATTGCTGGCATTTATCGAAAAGAATGGAGTAGAGATTACATTTTACATACACAGCTGTCCAGTACAGTTTTGAGGGTTTTGTGCATGTCTACTGCGTATGTTATATTTCATTTAATAAAAACAGTTTTCTTTTCAGTGAATGGAAAAAAATCAATGCATTAACTACATTATCAGTGAATATGGAGCTGATGAGGGCAAAGTCTGTATAAAAATGGGAACTGTCCAGCAGGTGTAAAAAAATATTTATGACAGTCACCTCTTTTTTTTGTGTGTGTGGATAGGAAAGTTTTTTACCCCCAACTCTTACTGATGCTATCAGTTCTTTTAAGTACCTTGTTTCCAATGGCCTTTTTTGGTGGAAAGTTAAAAGTCCTCACTTGCTGGTATTTATTCTGTAACTTATGATGCAAGCTTCTGAACTCTGCATATCTTCGATAAACGTTCCACTCATCATCCTTTATCCTAATATAAACCTGCAAAATACAGACATGGAAGGAATTAATTTAAAGACCAACCATTGAACTGATATATAGCCTTTACTCTTTAAAGCTTTATGGCTTAACACCTTCACATTCAAGATGCAATGGTACCAGAAGTTCCAGGATCACTTATCTATAGATACGTCTCTGACTGTACATTTGCTGTTTCTGATCTACAGGTCATTAATCTTATTCTCTCCCTTCCTCCCGCTCCTTCTCTTTTTTCTCCCTTTTTATTACATTAATCAAGACAAACATAGCTTTCTCATTTCAACATGACTCTGGGGCAACCATGGTAGCACTTTCTGTTACCATGGTTTCCAGCATATTCTACTAGCCAGTGACCAAAGGAAAAATAATTTAATACCCTATAAAATTGATTTCTATGAACACAACACAGTTTTTCAACTTCGTGAATTAGCTTTGTAGCATCAGAACTGCAAAACATAATTTTATGCAAAGTATGAAACAATTTACTTTCTAAAAAAAATTACATTGAAACTAAACTAGAAATTTTATTGTTCGAAAAATAAACACAGTTCATTCTTTCTGGTTGTATAGGACATTAAGTATAATTTAACACAGCTGTAGTTTTTGTGATTCTGTTTTTGTTTGCCACTCAATTATTTCATATTACCAATTACATGCTAAATATTCACGTTCTCTAGGAAAATCTCATGCAGAAGTGTAATATACTTACAGAAGCTGAGATTTCATTCATTACTAGGGAATTTCCTTTACAGAAATGAGCCCACAGTTTAAAAGAATGCTGAAATAGCACAAGTCAGAAACTATAAACCAAGCATCAAAACTCAAGATCGAGAGTGACCTTTTCCTTAACTGCTTCTGTAGAATCTCTAGCTCACTTATTCTCAGGTGTGTGTTAATAATCTCAGTATTTTGCATCACAAATTAAGCTGGAATAGTACTGATGACACCATACTGCCTTGCTTCTCCAACAGAACCCATGTAGTAAGTTGTAAGGCAAGTATCAGAACAATTACATAAAAAAGCAACAGCAACCACCATCAGATGAAGAGTGGGCAGTAAGAACTGTATTTTTGTGAATACCAGGAAAAAATGAAATTTGGATTTTGATGTGGCTGATTCCAACTCTGAATTGTAGCTTTTCCTGATGACTGAAACATTAACATGGTCCTCCTCCTCTAGATTTGCCAAGTCCTTAGAAATAGCTAAATTTTACTAAGGACTCATGGTATTTCAGAGATCCAGTGATGTCAAGTGAATGTCTTCTCCCACAAAAGCAGCTTATGTAGCCTTCCTTTGGTTTGGTCTTTAAGAAGTCCTCTTATCTCTACAGACACCTAGTTTCTCAAATTTATAGGAGGCTTCTGTCTTGCAACAAAATACCATATAGCATACTATACCATGCAACTTCTGCCAAATTATAATATTTCACTGTAGGAAATACTCATATATTCATAATACTAGATTCTGTTAGATAACAAGTGTATTTTTTGGTTACTATTGTACTTCACCATGTTTCATGATGATAACAAAAAATTAATACTACAATTCCAAAATTGGCACATCTAAGAACACAAGAGGTTCAGAGTATTGTGTGAATCACAAATGCATATGTAAACAAAAATTCAACTAGTTTTGGGAAGAAGAATTCAGATAGTGTAATGAGGGAACTGCTATAATAAGTCTGCAAGAAGTATTCAGATTTCTTTTTCATTTTGAAAATAAAGCCCGGATAAAGATAATTAAACACCTACAGGACCATCTGTTTTAACAATTCAGTATACTGCTGAAGGAAAATGAAGGGAAATACAAAATGTGAGTATTTTGCATAGTTTCAATAAAATTCATTTAATGTAGTAAAAACTACACTAAACACTCTTCATTCACCGAGCTCTCACCTCTGCCCCTGCCTACTCTCGCTTCAAATAGAAATTTTGTATGTGTTCCCAAGATTCATATTTTACTTTCCCTCCAGGTGGGGACAACAAAAAGGCATATTAAAGTTCATGATATAGTAGTACACATTTAAAGCTTTGTTAACTCAACCAGGAATACTATTCACAAGCCAAGGAATTCCAAGACACTTAATGCAAATTCAGTTGGGAAATCGAACAAGGTAAACACTAAATATAAAACTGCTTGGAAAAACTTATTCTAGTCTAGTCATATAAGGCATATAGTTATCCTCATTTAAATCAAATACAGATCATATTAAGCACAGGAATAACAGGGAACAATTATCTTTGTAGACAAAATCTTGAAATAATACCAAATCAAGCGACTTGACATGCGTAGTTGGAAATTGTATTAAAAGTCATTAGGACTATTCCCATCATCTTCAATGTATGAATTCAATTTCATTCATGGTCTTTTGATAGGAAATCAGTAGCTGCCAAATACACTTTTGTGCATGTTTGTCCCAAATTATCATGCTGCACCCTAGAGCGACACTACTTTCACTACTGAAAATACCTTAACATATGGCATATAATTACAGAACAGTATTTTAAGATCACATTATAGGAAAGTTGAAAGGACTACTCTTAGGCTCATTCTCTGATCAATTTAAAAATAAGTTTCAAATCACTACAGTTCCTTTCAAATGCCCATATTTCCTGAAATCATCCACTTCCTAACCTAATTAAGTAATTTTCAAGGTAACAAAAATTTACAGAACAAATCAAAATCACCATGAGAATGCTTATTTGATTGTAGACAAAAGATTTTACTTTAATATTCTCTTGTGTATCAAAAAAAATAAGTAAGTAGCTTTTGCTTGTAATTTAGCAGCACTTTCCAATTGGGTCTCCTGTGTAAAGATTGATTGGTAACCTTTTTGTAGCTACGCTTTAAAAAGCTGAAAGAAAGAATTCAGTTAATAAGTACATATAATGAATTAGTTTGTTATTTTCTCATCACAAACATGTTTGAAGTCGAAGATTTGAAGAGGAATAGCAAAACCAGTAGTAATTTAATACTTCGTTTTTCAGCCAACCACCTGCTATCTTAGTATTACTGAAATGCCAAAAAACTTCTGAGAACTAATTTGAAAGTGCTTGTTAAATGATTGTGTACTGAAATGAATACACCCTACTCCCATGCTACTGGTTTTTCAGCCAAAAGTCTCGGTAACAGGTTAAGGTATTTTTAAGCAGTTCCGGGTCGAAAATGCTGTTAACAAATCCTGGTAACAGACTAGTAATTATTGACACAGTTCATCACTACTTATGTATAAAAGCCTGAGGAGAAAAAAGGACAAAGGCCAAAATTCCAACTTGCTCCAGTTCCAGTGTACCTTCACAGATTAAATGCCTATAATCAGCACTTGTTCTTCAGGTCTGCATAAGTCTAAAGTGGGTGTTTTTCTTTTTTGATGCAAAATATAGATTGGTGTATTTAAGATTCACCTTTCGGTGCTCTCTCAAGCACTGTAGGTAGAAATAAATACTGAATGGGATATTAAAGAATCTTCTTCTGTTGCAATGACATTCATGGTTCTAGAAATACCAGATTACGTATCAGGAAGGAACTTCCCTAAACCAAGTTATTCTTGAATCTTCCCTACAAATATGGCTCACATTTCCTGGGATGGGGGTTGGACTAGATGACGGGGGTTAGACTAGATGACCTCTAGGGGTCCCTTCCAACCCAAAACATTCTATGATTGTATGATTCCTGGTAGGATGATCTGAATGCATAATGAAAAATTAATTCTAGCCAGAGAACTCTGTGGATGAGAGCTCCACAAATACAAACCTGCTGAAGTTAAAGTCCCTGTGAGTCCATGTCCCATTCCAGAAGGAAGAAAAACATCAGTAGAGGGGGAGAATAATGCTAATGCAAGGTCAGCAGTGAAACTCTACTAAACCACATATGAAATACAATGGCACAAGATGCAAGAGAACTCAGAATATTTCAGCAGCAGAACACTTCAAAGGATGTAACGAATATTGAGGAAGTTTGAAAAGAATCAGTCCTACGGTGGACAAGGTCATATTTTTTCTTACAAGCACAGAAAAAAAAATGATGGGCAGTATAGGGAATGCAAAAGAGACTGATCTACACTAAGGAAGCCACTGTGATATTTGCCATCTAACTAAGCATTATCAGGTGGCGAAAAAAAAAGAAAAAAAGACATGAGAGAAAAACTATTATTTCTGCACTACTGTATTTCTGCTGTATTGCTTTATTTCTAACTTCTTTTCCTCACTAATAAAAAAAGGTTTTCTGGAGATCCTCTTGTTTGCTATGTAGGCCTTTCAAATCAATGCCCAAGCATGTAACAACAGAAAGAAAAATTAGCAACTGGTTTAGTAGAGACAACCCAATCAGCATGAATACAAAACATAATATGCAAACTGGCACCAGTATTTTTTAAATGGTAACTCAGCTACATTTGACTGTTGAAAGTTTTCTTTACATTTGCTTTTAAATAACACTTTAAATAATTTTGGAGTACCACTGGTCCATAGTTTTTACCTTTACAGTTCAGTACTCAGTACAGCAAGAAAGTAGACATAAACTAGTAGAAACACTTTCATTTTTTGCTAGAGTTTCGTTCTTGGTAAAGAAGCTATAAAATATTTCTACAAGATGAAAATATTTGCTTCAGATACAGGAATAGCTGCTTAGATAGACCAGATTAAGATAAAAAAGGATGAGAAGACTAATAATCAAACCTGCTCATGCTAACAGAACATACATATCTTAAGAAGCATATTGCTAATGCACAGCAGGATGAACCAATGAATGAATGATGGTTCTTAAATGGATTTTATGCATCTTCTAAGACTGGCAATTTGAACATTGTGGGGGGATGGGAGAAGAGACTGTACAGGGAGGGAGACATTATGTGCTTAACTTTGCCGCTTCTTTCCCCCCCAGACAGGACAAAGCTTGGAACAAACAAAAAATTACATAGAACAGACCACTCCTCTGACTACCTATGTTGATTCACCTGTTCCAACACTTTGTTGGGTTAGAAAAGCCAACAAAAAACATGCAAG